GACGACGACGACGACGACGAAGACGAAGACGAAGACGACGACGACGAGGATGACGAGAAACACGACGTTGGTAACAAAAAATAGAAACGATTTTACTCTCAATTGGTGTAGAAAGTCGGCCTACTGTTTCTTTTTATCAAACGTAATACACAATTTGATCGAAGCTAATCGATATTCGATCGAGATGAATTGATTTTAGATTCTCGAGGCCAAATTATTTTCAAAGTAGAATTTTAGATAAGATACTCGTCGTTTATTGTTGCGGTGGTATCGATGAGTATTATATCGTATTATATCGATTGAGTTACGAGCGACTACATTGAGTTTCGTTGAGAAATTTTGCACGCGATATCCTTCTCTCGAAGCGTTAGACCGAGATTCTTTTCGCGAAACTCTGGCGAAGCATCGAACCGATAATTCATTTTCACGTTCTCGCAATTTTAAGAATCGCGATCTCGAGTTTCGTTGCACGAAACTATCCTCGTCATCGGTGGGCAGTTGCCGCGAGTCAAACGGGAGTCCGTCGTTGTAGATTCCGTGGGGAAAATCGATCCGCGTTATCGATCGAAGCGTCGCGCGGCTGAGCCGGCCGTTGGTTGGCCGATTTCCTGCCAGTCTAACTGGCTCGCTGGCCGAGTGCCTGGCCACGGCAGAGGTGGCGGCGAACCGTGCGCGCGGCTTGCGCTCCCAGCACCGTACGTGCATACACGCGTCGAAACGCGGCTCGGTGCACGCGTGTCCGTGTAACGCGTGCAATCCATTCGACCGAGTCCGCCGCGAGGGTGTACATCCAAGTGGGAAGGCGAGCTCGAGCGCGAGCGCACGACCGTGTGCGAACCCGTGGGTGAGAAACGCGCACCCGCGCGCGCGCACACATGCCCATATACACACACACACACGCATCGTGCTCATTCGCGCTGGCGCGTATATCGCCGAGAGACCAACCGCGAGACAAGGACCGACCAACGGAGAAACCGAGACAGCTCTGAGGTATATAAGGGAACGTATGCGTGTACACGTATGCACGAGCGCGCGCTATGGTAGTGGTGCAAGCGGTGACCCTGCCGCGATGTAGGTGGACGGAATACCAGGGCTGTACCTAGATATCGTATCGCGACGTTTCTCTCGTCCTATCGATAATTCGTCCCTCGAGAAATATTATTTTCTCTTCGGTTCGAGGGGCAAGCTTCCCGTCCCGTCGCTAGATCGTCACATCTAGATGAAGGGAACGCGATCTACCGTGATCCAATCTATGGACTCTTGGATAGACTCTTTCCGTTCGGTGAATTCGCGCACGCTCCAAACCAGCGTTTCTCCGCGATTTCTTCTCTTAACTTAAACTTCGAACATCGCATTTAAAAGTTGGTTGAAAACAACTTTCAACCTATTCCTTCGTGAAAAGAGAAAAAAAAAAAAAAAAAAAAAGTTGCAATGCAATTTAACCTTTCGTTTTCTCGTCTCTGTAAACGATGAATGCTGATTGGCGATAGTTTCGATCGGCGCGTCGATACTCGACGAGTGGCGCGCGCGATCTTTTCGATCGAGCGTCGCGATAAAAATAATGTCAAAGTCAAATTTCTTAACACGTTCCTGAGTAACTAATGTGTGTACGTATGTGTGCACGCGTGCGTGTGCGCACGTGTGTGTGTATGTTATGCACGCGCGCACCATGGTCGGTCATACGTATACATATAGCACCGGGTCTAAGCACGAACGAGTCGTGGCAGAGAGCGGGGTCGAGGGTGGATTTCACGCAAAGCCGAGCGAGCGAGAAGGAAATGCACGGCGCTCGACCAAGCGAGAGGCGAACAATTCGCGTCGAAGCGCGTACGGACTGATCCTCAAAACGGAAAGAGAACTATCGGTGAAGAAACGAAAGGAGGAACGTTCGAATAAGAAAGAGAAAGAGCGCTCGTTGCGAGTGCAACCATCCTTCGCGGTGAACGAAACGGAAAGAGAAAGACAGAGAGAGAGAGAGAGACAGAGAAAGAGAGAGAGCGAGTTGGAAGGAAAAGACGATATCGCCATCGTTGAAGCTCACGCAAACACGTTCCTGGCCAAGCTCGCACACTGCTGCTGCCTGCCAGAGACTCCCACCACGCGAACTTTCGGAAAAATCAATAGAATACAAGAAAAGCCCACGCTGCGCTAGGCAAGTGAAACTCTCTCGTCCTTCTTTCTCTTCTCAAATTTTTCCTTCTTCCTTTCTTCTTCCCTTTCTTCCTTTTCTTCCTTCCTTTCTTTCTTCTTTCTTTTCTTCCTTTCCTTTCCTTCCTTCCTTCGTAACTCTATTTGCGCTCCACCACGCAAACGTGAAACGTCACGTAGCCGTATCCTACCATCGGTCCAACGATCGAGATAAACCATTTGTTTGAAAAAAAATTGATAGCGAAGGAAGGAAAAGACACGCGCGAACTCGCGCGCGTGTGATCGAGGCAAATCGTGGATCGACCAACCTGTCCCCGTCAGTCTGCACCGCTTTGCCGGGTACTATTCCTTTGAAATCTTTTTTTTTTTTTTTTTTTTTTTCCCACCACTCCTCTCTCGATCCCGCATTTTCTCGCTTTCAAAAATGAAACGAAGGACCGAGGGAGTGACTTTTCCAGATTTCCGATACTCAAATACGGGAAGGATAATAACGTAATTGCGAATAGAAAGGGCGGACAGAGAGGGAAAAAAAGAAGGGGATAAATTCTGAAAAGGCGTGAAGAAACGTGTTATATTGGTCGAAAGAGCGTGGAATCATCATAGAAAGTGGAAATTGAATCCGATGAAAGATCGCGCGATTCGTGGATCTCGATCCGTGCACATTCTCCGATCCAAACGGAATCGTAGCCTATCTCGTACTAAACGGAACTGACCCAGCTTCGTGGCTTTGTACCCTTCGCTCATCCGTCTCTCTCTCTCCTTCTCCCTGTCTCTCTGTCAGTCGGTCGCTCTCTCCCCTCTATTTCGCTGCTTCTTTCCATCTTTGTCCGGTATTCCTGTTACTTCGAGTATCGCGCTCTGTATCTCTCTTTCTCGCGCATACACACTCTCTCTTTCTCTGTCCTTCGCCCCTTGACATTCTCCCACTGGCGGCGACGGCGGTGGCGGCAGCGGCGGCGGCGAGACACCCTCGAGAAGTTTCAATTTATACCGAAAGTCGTCATGACCGAATCCACAAATACGTTCACTCGCTCGCGCTCCTAGTCCATTCATATCAGCTGAGTACGCGTAAACATTGCTGTATCGTTCGTTGTTCCGTCATCTCGTACGAGTACGGGATACGACTTCGTCTTTTTTTTTTTTTCTTTCTTTCTTTCTTTCTTTTTCCTCACGATTCCAAATCGCAACGAACTCTCTTCTTCAACATCTCCACGTCCGCGAGAACGAAAATTTGGTGGAAAATTTAGTGGAGCGAGAAAAAAAAGTTGTCGCTAGTTGTCGAGATGATATCGTAACGGCAAGTCGGTCACGCGACTCAGGATCGCGTGTTCGAGTATCTCTTAGGAAAACGGGATTTTTCACGCCTTTTTAAACGAGTTTCGTTCCCGAAAAAAAAAAAAAAACGTTTCTCGAAAAATCCGACTCGAAAAAACGATTCGGTCGGTATGATCGCATCCTTCCTCCTCGATCGATCCCCGATCGATCGATTCGGAAAGAAGGAGGCGAGAGAAGGAGACAAAGGAAAGAAGAAGGCGAGTGAGCACGCGGTCGTGGACTCTCGGAGCCGACTGCGAGTGGACACGGATCCGGAGGGGGGAGAGGGGGGAGGAGGGACAATAAAATAAGCGAATCAGCAGGTCGTTGTCGTAATTCTGGCTACGTCACTGGTACTACCCCTCTACACTCGACGGCGGAGGGTCGTGTACCCTCGCGTAGAGGGGTATAACGGCGGCTGGGGAGTGGAGGGGTGAGAGACGCAACGGGGCTAGCTAGGGAGGAGGGACAGAGCGCGGTGGTGAGAGGAACGCGCGGAACGCTTTATGAATGAATGTTTCCACGCCAAGTGTGGCGAGAGAGCGAGAGAGGCCCCCGTGTGTCCCGCGTGTAAACACAATAATACCGACGTTTCCATTCATCAGGTCGACCCCGGCAAAGCACGCCGCGACCTCGAGAAATGCCTTTCGAGGCGCCACGTGGATCGCATACCCCTCCCTGACTCTCTCTTTCTCTCTCTCTCTCTCTTTCTGTCTCTCTTTCTCTCTCCCCCCTATCCCTTTCTTTTTTCTTTTCAACCCTCCTCCATCACGGTGTTTCGAACGCGATTTCGATCCTACCTCCTTCTCCTCGTTTCGTCTCACGCTCTCCTTCTTCTTTCGAGTCCTGTATCGCGAACGTCCTTCGCAGAAACAACGAGTGTATCGGGTTTTAACGACCACGTTAAACGCGTGTTGTTGCAGATCTACGTGGAAATGAGAGCAGCCACGAAGGATACGTTGGACCAGTGGGCGGGAAAAAGTGTTTGGTCGTTGGTATGCGCGATGGAATTGGGTTTGATATCGGATACCACCGCCTCTCGTAACAACGAGATATCGTTTCGCCCGATATCGGAGGTCGCGAGCAAATCATCATCCCCCTTAAGGATCTCGCCGCGGTTTCGAAAGAAACGAGCCAACGTAGGAGGAGGAAGAGGAAGAAGAAGGAAACGAGCGTCGAAAATGAGTGGGAAGAGGAGGAAGATGTACGCGAACGATTCAACGATCACCGTGGATCAATTTTGGAGATCGCGCAAGAGAAAGCTCGGCCGACCGAAGAAACAACGTTCCGCCGATCTACTCTCCTCCTCGTTCGATCGTCGTCCGATTTTGTCCGATTCGTGTCGATCGACTCGCTCGCGCTCCGCCAACAATAACAGCAATAACAACAATAATAATAACAGCAATAACAATAACAATAACAATAACAACAACAACAACAGCAACAACAACAACAACAATGTCCTTCTCGCCGGTACGGACGCTCCACGTTTCGAGCGACGAGTATCCCGCGACGATAATGGCGCGTGGAAAAGTTCGAGAAAAAGTGTGCTTCACGAAAAAACGAACGACGAAAATACGATCGAGAATGTTGTAACGCGTTCTAACGGGAGGGGACTCGAGTCGAAAGTTAAGGAGGACGAGAGTCGGGACTCGACGAAATTCGACGAAATTCACACGCTTCCTTTGATGAAGAGAATTTTTCGCGAGAGCGGTGTTGTTTACGGTGTTGAGAACGAGAGAAAAGATGGCCGTCGAGATACGACGGACGAGAAGTGGACGGTTCACGAGGCTGGAAAGAAAGATTCTATGAAAAAAGTTTCCTCCTCCGAGAGGAAGAGGGTTCGAGAGAAAATGTTGAAAGGTAACGAGGAAAATCAGGAGGTGAGAAGAGTGACGCGAGGATCGATGAAAATTGGGAAGGATCTGTCCGTCGGCAAATTGGTGTGGGGCTATTGCGCGGGATGGTGGCCAGGCAAGGATTTTTCCCATTATTCGTCTCTTTCCAACTCTCCCCGCTCGAGTTTCCTATTCGCGTTTGATCGTTCGATCGGTAAAATCGGTATTGTCCTAACCGATTGAGATCGACGCAGCACCGGTCGCGAAAAGTACGCAAAGTTTTGTACACAAAGTTGCAACTAGGAACGTGCGCGTGACCGCGAAAAGAAGCGACGAGACGAGATTAGCCATTTAGTCCTAAGTAAACGTTTCTATGTGATATTGCAGCGTTAATTATCGATGCCGACCATGTAGGAATGTTGTCCGAGGAAGGGAAATTATGGGTTTACTGGATCGGAGAAGCTCGTATATCATTAGTGAATATTTTATTTATTTATTTATTTATTTATTTATCTATCTATTTATCTATCTATTTATCTATCTATCTATCTATATATCTATTTATCTATCTTTTATCTTTATTTAATATATTTGCACGCGTCTCTCGAAATTCACCGTTGTTACCTTCGTTTCAGTTGAACGAAAAGACGCAGATCGAACCGTTCTCGTGTAACCTCAAGGCTAGACTGACGCAGAATTTAAACGTACCGCGAATTCGTGCCATTGACGCAACTATGCAGGTTTTATTTTCCATTTTCTTTTTTTCTCTCCTTCCTCATTTTTTTCTTCCTCCTTCGCTTTTCATCTCCCTTTTTCTTTTCGAGCGCGCGCTCAACATACGACTTTCTTTCAGATGTTGCGCAAAAAATTGGGCGGCATTTTGACCAAACCGTATTTCACGTGGATCGAAAGCAATTTCCCCAAAAATATGATCGAAAGTAAGCGATCGAATGGAAAAATGTATTCTTTTTCTTTTTTTTTTTTTTTTTCTCTTTCAATTAACGTTTCTCCTTCTTTTTTTTTTCCGCGCAAAAGTGTTGGACGAAATCAAGTTTTATCCGTATCCGATAAAAATGCAACAAAGATTGGACCATCTTAGAGAAAAAAACGCAAAAGTAACGGAAAGATATTTATTGGATCAAAAACGTACGTATTCGATTCTCTTCGTCCGTTCCTTTTTTTTCCTTCCCTCGACGAATAGAAATGGAGAAATGGGTGAATTTGTCGATAGGAGAAAATCAAGAGAGAAAACTGGCCGAGAAGTCGAAAGATTCGCCGCAAAAAGTCAACGTAGATTTGACGCTTTTGCCATTGAAAGAACAGAATCCAGGAATTATAGCCTGGGCTAAAATTGCCGGGCATAATTGGTGGCCAGGTAATATCCTTTCGATTTTTTTCCTTTTTTTATATACTCTCTTCTTGCACGCGCGCTAATAAACGTATCGCTACACATCTTCGTTTTTTTCCACTTTTACGATCGATTCTCAAGTTTCGGTTGCGCGTGAAGTTGCGCATGTGCCAATTCGAGAACGTTCGAGAACGCTCGATCGATCTCGAGCGGCAAAAATCGATTCGATAGCGAAAAGAGGATGAAAACACGCTACGCCCTTTATGATTCGCAGCGATGATTATCGATTATCGCGATTGTTGCATGCGAGAACCAACGTTCGGTTGCCAATGGATTATGTGGTACGGTGACTACAAACTGTCAGAGGTAAAAATTATCCAAACGTATATCATTTAAATCATATGTGTCCCGATCTCGAAATGGAAATGATCGTACGTAGTTTTCCTTGTGCACGCGCATCAACAGGTGCATCACCAATTGTTTTTGAGATTCGACAAGGGAATGGAAAAAATGCGGGAATACACGAACAACACGAAAAAACATATTTATCTCGTCGGTGTTCTTCAAGCCTCGAAGGTAATATCATTTATCGCATTATATCATTTATCGATCGAGCTTTATTTATAAATTATTACTTCTTATTATTAAAGATATATATATTTATACTTATATTATACTTATTATATATTATATACTTATTATACTTATATTATACTTAAATTATTACTTCTTTTAGGACTATTGCTCCCGCCTAGGATTCGAAACCGTCAACTGGACTTTGGACGACGCGTTCGAATATTTTTCCAAACCTAATCATTACGAAACGTCGTCCACCTCGAGAAGAGAAGATTCGGTTAAAATCTATGACAAATATTCGCCCCGTATCGCGGAAAAATTGAACGAATTGAAGGATAATCCGAATGTGGACGACGAACGGGCGAATGATATAAACAACAGCGGTAAGATTGAAAGGAGATAGATAAAAATATCCGTAAAACTATTCTCTTTCGATCCAGATGATTTGCGATCGGCTATAAGCGGAGAAATCTCGTTCGATTCGTTGTGCCTAAAGTGTCTACGTGTTTCCAACGATAAAATGGACATTCATCCGTTCTTCGAGGGATCTTTGTGCAAAGATTGTTCGGTAAGATTGAAAAGGATCTTACATTACGCCTAATATTTTATAATTTTATTTTTTCTCTCGAATCCTTGCTTACAAACATGCTTAAAAAAAAATCATGTTTCAGGAACGATATAAACCCTGTATGTTCGTTTTCGGTAACGACTCCAAATGCGTAAGTATTTCGTCTCGTTTCATCTCGTTTTAATAATCAACCCCTTTTCGCCTTCTTCTCTCCACCGAGCAGTTTTATTGCACGGTGTGCGCCGCCTCTGGGATGGTGATCATCTGCGACAAAGAAGATTGTCCAAGGTAAATTCGCCAATCTCGAAACAATTCTTTTTCCTTCTTCTTTCCTCGTTGACAAATTGCTGTTCTCTTTTCGACTCAGGGTTTACTGTACCGCTTGCATGAAACACCTCTTATGCCCGACGACTTACGAGCAAGTGCTCCAAGAGGATCCTTGGGAATGCTTCCTCTGCAAGTCTCGATCGTTCACCGACACGATCGTCAGACCTCGAACTAATTGGAAGGACAAGATAATTAATATGTTCCGTACGAGTTGCGATTCAAATGCTCAACACTTGGTTGCAAAGCACAATTCAGAGAAGAGAAAAATACGCGTTCTCTCCCTGTTCGATGGCCTTGGTACAGGTACACGAATCCATCATTTTCTTCTATCCACGGTAGTCTTTCCTCTCCTCCAATTTATTTTTTTACGTATTATATACAAAATTTCGTATGTATGCGTTCTCTACGAGAAGATAGATGTTTTCAGGTTTACTGGTGCTTCTGAAATTGGGCTTCACAGTGGACGCCTACTACGCGAGCGAGATCGATCCAGACGCGTTGATGGTTACCGCCTCGCATTTCGGCGACCGTATCCTTCAATTAGGCAACGTAAAGGATATCACGAGCAGGACGATTAAAGAGATAGCGCCTATCGATCTTCTGATCGGCGGATCGCCGTGCAACGATCTCAGTTTGGCCAATCCGGCGCGCCTCGGCCTCCACGGTTCGATCGAATTTTTTAAATTTATATCAATTGTATCAGTTTGTTATAAGCGTGTATCCGTCGTTTTTCCCTCTCAGATCCGAGGGGAACCGGTGTACTCTTCTTTGAGTATCGTCGAATTCTGAAACTGGTGAAGAAACTTAACAACGAACGACATTTGTTTTGGTTGTACGAAAACGTCGCCTCGATGCCCAGCGAGTACAGATTGGAGATTAATAAGTAAGTTAAATTAATTTAACCCTTTGCACTCCAGACCTGTTTCGCTCGATCGAACGAGCAACTTCAAACACGCGTTCGGTGCAATTTCTTACAGTTAATTTATAACGATTTCACACGCAAATTAACGCATAAAACCTTTATATTTTAATATTCTATGTATCTTATATAAAGAAACAAAATTTATTGAATATTAAAATCTATATTGTTGTTTTGTGGGATATTTTATGAAGCAATGAAGGACAAGTAGAGCAATACTTTTCTTTCTAACTTTTTTATTGCATAATTATTTATTTCGCGCACTATTTCATTAATAAATTCATCGGTAAAAATAGTTTAAAAAAATCTAATGGTTCATTTATATTCGAAGATACTTTTCCTAAAAATTTTTCACCGAGTACGAATTGTATTCTTCGCGATATATTTTCCGATTCTATGCGTGTTATTCATTTGGAATTTTCTGTGTCTTATCTTCATTGCTTTCACAATCTATTATTCTTATTTTTCGCCTTCTTATACCTCTTATTTCATCTCTATGTTTATCATTGCTCTCTATCGTTAATTTCTTTACGAATAGAAGTAATTTTGTCATTCAGTAACGAAAAATCAAACTAATCTTCGCTTCAACTAATTTCATTATAACGTATTCTATGCTTACAATCTCAAAAACTTTGAAAATAATATTTCTATTTCTATTGAATGACCAAAGATGTCCTTCGACTCGCAATCACGGTTTAATTTGAAATAAAAAATCTACGCATTTAACAATACATTATTCTAGACCTCACAAGATTATACATAAAGAGGTTAGGAACTTATTTGTGAAGCGATATTCTAACAAAATCAAACATAAACTATCAAACTCAGACTAACACCGAAAATGTCATTCGACTCACGATCATAATCTAACTTGAGATAAAAAGTCTACCCATTTAACGATACATTATTCTACACCTCATAAGATTATACGTAAAGAGGTTAGGAACTTATTCGTGAAGCGATATTCTAAAAAAATCAAACGTGAATATCGTCGCCGTTCAAGTTGCCGAACAATCTCAGTCACTGTTGGAGAGCAAAGGGTTAAGTTTAAATTTTCATCGAAATTACCATACGATTATATTTTCTTGTACATTTGATAAAAGACATCTAGGACAAGAACCCGATGTGATAGATTCGGCAGATTTTTCACCTCAACATAGATTGAGGCTCTACTGGCATAATTTCCCGATAGAACCACACTTGTTACCGTCCCAAAGGGAGCAGGATGTGCAAGATATACTTACGCCACATTGTCAACGTTACTCGCTCGTTAAAAAGATACGTACCGTCACTACGAAAGTAAATTCGTTAAAGCAGGGTAAGTGAGAGTGTATATTGATACGTTTCTTTCGAATGATTTGCTGATCGATAATTCCTTTTTTTTTCTCTCTCTTTCTAATTAGGCAAACTTGCATTGAAACCAATTTTGATGAAAGACGAAAGCGACTCCTTGTGGATAACCGAATTAGAGGAAATATTCGGATTCCCGCGTCATTACACGGACGTAAAGAATTTATCGGCTACGAAACGACAGAGATTAATAGGTAAATCTTGGAGCGTGCAAACATTGACAGCCATTTTCAAATGTCTTTGTCCCTTTTTCGAGCGCGATATCGTGGAAACGAAAGATGAATCGTAACGCAGTTGGAGAGAGAGAGAGAGAAAAAAAAAGAAGAAAATGATGATGGATCGATCAAAACCTAAACGGATTTATTCAAAAGGTGATTAAAGTGAGAAACAAATATATCTAATTAATCGTTTCGTTTTCTTTTATCCTCCTCTCCCTCCTTTCCCTCCCTTCTCTTCCTTTTAACCATTTTATTTTCAACCATTGTTACAGTTAATGAAAAGAAAAACAAAACGAAACAAAACTTTTTCTTTACATTTCAAACTCTTTTTCAATATTCTAACTTTCTTTTCCTTTCATATACCAAAGGAATCTAACCTAACCTAACCTTTTCGTATCATATACGAAATATTCTTCACGGCTCAAAAATATCATAATATGTTTTGTACATTGTTGTTTTTCATATAAGTAATCATAATAAAAAAAAAAAAAAAAACTTATATTTATAAATGTAGTTTAATTTCGAAGTAAGTAATAGAAACAAATATCGATGTGTAAAATTTATAATGATATAAATTTTAAGAAGCATCTCTTTAAACGTTATTCTGCTATTCCTTTTGATATCTCATACGGAAGTATCCCCTGCGATGCTCTCGACTCATTGGTGAAACCTCATTACCACCGGTATAAGGTACGTTCCTTTGTTGATTAATTTGTAATAGCGTAATAGGAACAGGTATACATCCCATCAAACAATTCACATACCGCATTATGGAGACTGGTAACGGTGTGTTTATAAATATCTCTTTCCTCTCCATGTCAACCCCTCTGACGATACCTGCGTTTGAACCGAATTACAATAATGATTATACAAATTATATAAATTTCAAATTATATTAGAAAGGTAAAAGATATTAGAAAAAAAGAAAAAAAATATACCACCGAAATGCTTACCGAATCCGTAACAGGCGCAAAGAGGAGATCTGTTTAATACACGAGGACCAGATCCAGCCTCTTGCCATTCGTTATTGTTCATATCGATTCCACACAATGCCACTATATTACCATTCACTATGTTCAACACGTGCGAGGCGGACGTCGATGGTCGCGGTATTGCAATGAACAACGATGCGAAAGATGTTCTGCAAGATAAAAAGATTCTCCTATATTAGAATGGTTTAGAAGATGATTTCTTCGTCTTCGATGTATGCGAAGAGAAAATACTAACACGTATGGTACAGCTTCGTTGATACTCAAAGCGTCATAACGTGTCCTAAAGAAAATTAATACGTATTAAAATACATATGTGCTCTATAAAATATAATCAATATTGTGTAAATTTAATGTTAATATTAAATTATTCGTTTCACAAATCTTACGTAGAATTCGAAGAGTTTTGTACAATTTCACTGAGATAAGATATCATAACGAGTTCTCGTTGCTGATACGGTTCCATATTCCAAGTTTCGTATCCTGGACCAGCTTTACGTTCCGCGTGCGAACGTACTACGAATAATTCGTGATCGCACGGTTGATTCCAGGTGACAATGTTCGTGCCCCATGTTAATTCCTACAAAGAACAGACTTTTCCGTCTTTGCTAAGTTATTCGAATATACAAATCGATAAGATAGATATCGAATATACCTGTCGATTTACTACTTGTTTGCTCAAGTATCCGATATAATTGTTCTTTGGCTTTTCGGACATAATTTGTACCACGAAAGAAGGTCGGATCAATTTAATCGTAAACATGATTATATCCCAACCAACGCCTTGCGAGAAACCCATCGTGTTTATAACAATTGGTAAACGTGACAAGTTTGGACAATTTAACAATTTATCGAATAACATTTTGACAGCCTCGATGTATCGCGTAATGCAACGCGATACGTTCACGTCTCCGATATACAATTGGAAAACTGGTGTGGTTAAATGCGTAAAATTTGGTCCCATCAAGGGTCGTTCGATTAAACTATACGATATACATCCGGGCGGTGTGCATTCCGTTTGGCCTGGATCAACGTCCATAAGAATCACCATTTTTGAGGCGGGTAATAGACTATTTATCAAATAACGCGTCGTAGTAGATTTACCAACGCCTTTCCCGCCGGCAATTAAAGCGCACGACCATTCGTTCGAACGCCAACAATTCAACATTTTCTCGCTAACTTCTTGTGCGATACGTGGATCAATAATTAACTCCTTACACGTGGAATTATCGATATAAAGATTCGATTGCAATATTGTTTCGGCTCTTTTTGGATCGGCCCAAGAATAATACGGTGTATTCTTTATTTTTGGGAATAGCCTAAATGGATAGAAAACGTGTAAAAATCTAGTCAATTTGTTATCTAAATTGGATAACAAAAGAACAGCCATGCCAGGTTGAATTTGTTCGATCTCGTCGACCAATTTGTTCTTTTGATTTCGATCGATACCTTCGAGAGAAAGAGACATCCATATATCCGATTCGATGTTCTCCACAGATTTTTCACTTACTTCGATCGATACGTTACTATATCCTCTTGGTGAATAGATTTCGATCGGATCGTTCTTCGTAGTGATAAAAAATCCGTAAACTTCTATCGCGCCATATATTACCTTTACAACCAATTTTCCGGTAAAACAAAATCGTGCCCTTTTCGACATCACTGCGACTATTTTATTCTTAACACAATAAAACCGTACTGACTGTTGTTCAATAGACGAAATATCATTTTTATTCAATGTTCTCGCTTCGAATGTATCGTCTCTTCCATTTATATCGTCGAAACTATTATTTTCTTCGTAGAAAGTATCAGAAGATTTTTCAGTCTCTTTAGTAGTGGAAACTATTAATTGCTTTTCTGGACTAGTCTTTTTTGGACTAATAGGAATATTTGAATTACTATTTCGCGATTTTTTCTTATCTATACGTGGTTTACGATTATTCTTGGATAATGACATAATTTTAGTACCGTTCCCTCGATTGTATAAATTATCATTTGGATTTAATGATTCGGCAACAACTACGCAAGCTTCATCCTTTTTGAAATCGTTTACCATACACGATGGATTATTATCAAAAATATCATTTTTCATTATCAATTGTTCGCTCTCTTTAAATACTTCAGGTATGCTTAACGAAGATAAATTTTCTGAGAGTGTTTCAACTATTACAGGTAAACCTATATTTCTTTGTTCTAAAATGTCGCGATATCGTTTGTCACTTCTATCCCTGGCTTCAGGAGAGTCATTGCACGACTCTAAGGAAAGATCCATAGAATCTGAAATGTAAGCAATCCCTTTCCATAATGGTGTTCTTTACTTGAATAAAGGTATTATACCATATTTTATCTTCAACCTGCAAATATCGTGCGGTGTTTACACCGATGTACAAACACAAGTCACGCGATTTCAAATAGTTTATCAAAAGAATACATAAATTTCTTACGTTGTGTTCCTTTCATATTAGCATATTTTTTCTTTCTTCGTTTCAAATTACGTTGTAAGATTAATTGTTTATTACTTAATGAACTTCCCACTAACGAGGTGTTTTGATAATTTTTATTTCTTTTGCAAGAAGGATTCATATTCGAATACGATGCTCTTTCTCCTTGGATTAACTTATTTTGCACTTTATATTGCGGCAATTTTCTAAATTAAAAATTATAATTTTTTAATCAAACACAATATTGCGTTGTAATGCAATCTAATCATAACATTTTAATTACATCAGATAAAATTATTAAGAAGCATTCTAATAGTTCGATATTTACTTACGCTTTGGTTTTTTTTGTAACTTGTGAATTTTTGACTTGTGATATTCTTAACTTTTTCGCTTGTGTTACTTTCATTTTTACGTTCTATAAAATTCAAATATATATATAAAGAAAAAAGTTTAGATCTTTATAGGACGCATTTCCGAAAACTAACCTTATATTTGCTATAAACTAATATTATGGTTCGTTTTTAAAGGAAGGTTCCGCTTATGTGCGTGCACAAGCATCTATATGTATCTGTAAAATAAATACTAAACACTAACTTCTAGTTTAGGGTTGATTTTTCATTAAATCTCTCATAGAAAAAATGAAAACGCTTCTTTAATAGCACGTTTAAAAAAGGATGACGGAGAGGCACTTCAGCGACGCATCACGGCTACTATAGTTACCATCCAATGTTAACGATACGAAGTCGCGGCAGTATTTAGCATTAATATTCACATAAAATGGAGTTACCAGTTACGTATTGTTTATGCGGTCGTTCTTACGATTTTGAACAATTTATGATACAATGTGACGTTTGTAAAGAATGGTATCATGGAGGGTAAGCGTTCAGAAATTGTGACAATTAAAAACAACGATCTAAATACTGTGACAAGATTATGCTTTGTAAAATTAAATATAAACATACGTAAACATAGATTTTGGTTTCTATTCTGCAAAAAATTTTCAAATAATTTGATTATTTTTTTCTTAATTTTCTTTCCCCTTAACTTTTTATATGAAAATAATAATTACGATATAGCTTTATAGAGACAAGTTTTGTTGATACTTACATAACCTATCCGAATTATATGCGATATCTTTTGATACAAAAGTAAAAATATATATATAAAAATTATAATCTTTTTATATGTATTTTATATTATATAAGAATAATCGTACCAATTTTGTTTAAAAGTAATTTATATATTTTTTGATTTACAGATGCGTATCTATAAAGGAATATATGTCGATAGATCTTGACAAATATCATTGTCCGCGTTGTGAAGCGATGTGCGGACCATCGATTAGTGAGTATATAGAAATTATATTTTTTTTATCGTTTTCATTGTATTTTTTGATAAGTAATAAATTTTCTATTATTTTAACGATGATTGTACTTTAGTGAAAGTAAGATTAAATTGGCATAGACACGATTATTCTGAACCTGATGCGGATACAAAACCAGTACAAACTGGCACACCAGTTTTTATAAGAGAATTAAAATCCAGACATTTTCCAAAAGCTGATGAAGTTGTTAAGCATGTTAGAGGACAGCAATTGACTCTTCAACATTTGCAAACTAATGGTTTTGAGAGTCCCATTATAATAGACGGAAAAGACGGACTTGATATGACTGTTCCACCTCCAAACTTCAGTGTTTACGATATAGAAAGTTGTATAGGTATTAATTCTTCTTGTAATATTAGTATTAATATTATATTGTTCTTTTTACAAAATAAAAATTTTCGAATACAAAATAAAAATATCGAATGGAATTTTTTTTCTTTTCAGGTGGAGATCGAGACATGGATGTGATCGATGTTACAAGACAAAATAATATCAGAATGAAATTAAGAGACTTTGTTGAATATTACAATTCCCCTTGCAGAACAAGGGTTCTTAATGTGATTAGTCTTGAATTTACAAACACTGGGTATACCAATATTAATTGCCTTGCCACATATTGGCTTTAAATGTTTCTAAGAAGTATATGTATATAAATATAATATATAAATTGACAAATAAACGTTGCAGTCTTTCTCCAATGGTCGAGGCACCATACATCGCGCGTAAACTCGACTGGGTTAATTCCGTTTGGCCACGCGATTGGCCCGAGGATAGTGACATAAAACGTCCGGAAGTACAAAAATATTGCCTAATGGGGGTCAAAGACAGTTTCACAGATTTCCATATTGATTTTGGTGGCACATCTGTGTGGTATCACGTGCTACGTGGAGAAAAAGTGTTTTATTTAATCAGGCCTACTTCTGCAAATTTACAATTATATCAACATTGGATGTGTAGCTCAACGCAGAGCGAAACGTTTTTTGGAGATCAAGCTGATGCGTGTTACAAATGCGTTTTAAAACAAGGTCAAACCATGATGATTCCAACAGGATGGATACACGCAGTGTTAACGCCTGTCGATTCTTTAGTTTTTGGTGGAAACTTTGTACATAGTCTTAACATTCCAACGCAAATACAGTAAGTATTATATATGTAACTAATGAATAATCCTTTTTAATCATCATAAATGATTATCATGAATATTCATATTCTATAGAATATATGAATTAGAAAAAAAGATGAAGACTCCTGCCAAATTTCAATATCCTGGTTTTGAGACAATCAATTGGTTTGCAGCAAAAAAATTATTAAAAGAATTGAAAGAATTAAATAACGAAGGAAAGAAATGTCCCACATATCTCTTACAGGGTGTTAAAGCATTACTCAGCATTCTAAAACAATGGAACACAGATAAAGATGTACGTTTATTTTCTTCTTAGAAAAATCATTTTATGTATATAATAGATATTTTATTTAGATAGATATCAGAATGTATTTAATTTCTATTTCAGTATAATATGATTAGCAGGGGTCAAATACCGGAAACAATAAATAGTCAAAAATTGCTAAAAGATTTTAGTAAAGAAATACGACATGCAGAACGATACTTAATGTCATTAAATCCTCCAAAACCAGAGCGAGAGAGTAAACGCAAGAAAAAAAAACCATTAAACAAAGATTTCGTAGATTATGATGTTGCTGATAAAATGGCTGATAATCCGTTCAAAGCAACGTTAAAAGAGACGAACAAAACTAGTTCTACGAACTCGGAACCACCCTCATCGGGTAGACCACCGTTAAAATTAACTCTACCGAAACCTATAATGTATCCATATGTCAAAACTCAAAATGCAACGTTGGAAGAAAAAAATACGTCTTCCATTAGTAATAAACGATCATCAAAACCAGGAAAACAGAGTCCAACTGTAATTAGATTTAAACTTGGCAATAACGAAGTCGTACGAAGTACACACGATGACATAAATACATATAACGAGTTTACTTCTGATCATCATCTTGGAACACCGAAAGAATTAACTTGGAAACAAACTTCCATATACGATTTTCATGATGGTAGTAACGAAAGTGATTATGGTCGATTTACTATCGATGAATCACCAAAACGAAAAAGGGCACCAAGAATTAATACGCAAAAACGGTTGAAACGTGACTATGATGGAGATGTTGATGTCTTAAATGATGTACCAAAAAACGGCATTGAAGAATTATTAAAAGCCTCGGCTTATACTTTGGGAAATGGTGCTCAAAGATTAGATGTAACGTAAGTTAACATAATCAATTATTCAGTAAATTGCAATAATTTCATTCTTATAATATTATAATATTTGATTATAGGACATCGATGATATCACAATACAATCAACCTATACCACCACCTACTGGGTAAGATTAAATGTTGACATTTTTAAAAAATTTATTTGACAAAGCATGTTTAATATTTCTTTATTATTAATTTGCTTGTTAATTCGTTTTTCCTCCTTTTTTTAATATTAAAGAAATATATTTGCATGTATTTTTATTATTTTCCAATAGTATAGTATTGTTACGTTTTATGTTTTTGGTGTCTTAGTATTTATAAATTGAAAACAACCAGTTCTGGTAGGGCATCTCCATCTACTCGAGAAGCAATCGCTGGGATGTTATCCTTCAGCGAACAATGTTATTCAACTACATCGAACAGTACATCGAAATCTACAAAAATCACTAAAATGCAACCTGACGAAGACGACGATCAATCGATAGAAAATATCGATAAAGTTCACCAGGACGATGATTTTAGTATGTAAAAAAATCATAAAAATATTATTTATTTTATTTGAATGAAATTATATTTACAATTAATAATGATTATCATATATTTTTCAATTCGTAGTTTATCCGTCTCTTGACGCTTCGGATGACGAAGATTCTATCTTTAAACCAAAAGCGAAAAGTCAAATAGACGAGGCATGGAATCCAAAAGCCAGAGTAGGACCTCTTTTGCCAAAAACAAATCGTCCAGCTCGAGAAGGTGTCAAGAAAACATCTGTTGAAAAAGGACTCGAAGCAGCAGCAGCAAAACGTGCAAAACAATCGGTATATATAAATTTCCTTATTTTTTCATTTTCTTTTTATTATTATTATTGTTGTTATTGTTGTTGTTATTGGTGTTTTTATTCTTTTCATTGTTTTTGATTATTATTATCATCATCATCATTATCATCATCATCATCATCATCATCATCATCATCATCTTCATCATCATCATCATAATATTGATTATTATATTAATTGGCAATTAAATTTACTCTTAACTTGATACTTATTACATTCATATCATATAATATAGATTTGTTTTTATAACACAAATTAACTCATTTATTACACTATGTATTCTATATTTACATTCATATGCATTTTCATAATTATTTTTTTCTTGCATACTCATATCGTATAGGACGATTATCTGGATAACAACATGGATAAGGGCTCCAAGAAGAAATTGGTAGGCATATTACGGTTTCACTATTCGTTTCATAACGTACGTTGCATGTATATTTATGATTGTATCTTGATAACCATTCGATTCATATTTGTGTTTCGTCGTATATAAAATTATAAAAATAAATATATTTTTGTTTATTTAACTTTTAACTTCTTGGTACGCAACTATTTATAAATTAATATTAATTTTATTGATAATAAACTTCTTACGATTGTTATATCTTTTTTTATTTTATTTTATTTAATAATAATTAAAATAAAATTAATTTATTGCATATAAAATAATAGAGTACAACCAAACGGACATATAATAAAAAGAAGCAAAAGAATTCATCCGTAACATCGACAACTGGTACATCGACTACAACTTCAGAAAATACTGTAAAAACAAGCATCGGATTCGGTTCAATATTAACTAGCCCTAACAGGCTTAAAGATGTAAAAGCAAAACTAGCAGCCCCGGTTCCAGTTGGTAATATATAGTTCTAAGTTTATTTTTTCTTTTTTTTTTTTTATTTTATCAAAATTTCTTTTTATTTTATCAAAATTGTTTATAATCAATGTTCAATATATTAATCTACTTTCATTTTTAGAACGAAAACCAAAGAAAGGGATGAAAACGGCTAAACAACGCTTAGGAAAAATCTTGAAACTTCATAAAATGATGCATTAAATCGACAATTAGTAAAAAAAAAATCAAAAACGCAATGAGCTATACATACATCACATCATTCTCT